GTATTATTTTAGTATACTTTAAGTGGTATCTCAGAAGGGATTTGAAATGCTATATTTGTCATATACTAAATTCCCACATGTGACTGCCTCTCTATTTAATTCCATTGATCTGTCTATTCTTGAACCATATCACAGCTTTATATAATTGATATCTGGTAGGCAAGTATTCCCTTATTTCTATCTTTTAAAAGTTTCTTGGCTATTTTTGTATATTCTTCCAGATGAACTTCAGAACCAACTTGTCCAGTACTACCACTCTATGCCCCTAAATTCCAATGAGATTGCTATGGGAATTTGTAGTTATTTAAAATTTTTTTCAATTATGAAATTTCTCATTCAGGAATATTGTACATCTATTCATGTCAGATCTTCACATTTATAGCCTTAAGTAATATTTTGTAGTTTTATTCATGTAAATGTTTTGTACATTTCTTGTCAGGTTTATTCCCATCATTTTTTTTCTCACTACTGTGAATGGGATCTTTTTTCCCCATTATATTTTCTAATTGGATATTGTTTTTATAGAGAGAAGTAATTGATTTAAAACTTAAACTCTTTTTCCATTTAACTCTAATGGTATCTCAGTTGATTCTCTTAGATTATTTATGTATCATATATAAACAAGGACATTTTATGACTCTTCCTTTACAACATTTATAACTTTTGTGTTAATGTTTTGACTAGAACCTGCAGAACAAGGTTGAGTAATACTTGTAAAGACAAATGAATATTCTTGTTTTGTTCTGACTTTAAGTGAATGCTAATAGTATTTCACTATTGAGTATGATGATTGTAGTTGTTCTCTATACTCTTCATCAAGTTATAAAATTCTCCTGTTCCTAGCCCACTGAGAGAATATTTTTAAGGTACTACAAGCACAAGGTAAAAAACTCAAATAGTACAAAAGAGTATGTGAAGAGTTGCCATCTCTGTTCCCCAATTTCCCAGTTCCCTTACTGAGAGGCAATTTCTATTAACAATTTTTATGTGAACTACCAGAAAGAAATCAATGCAAATCTAAGCATATATATGAATATGTTATTTTTTACACAAATAGTGGCATACTATAAACACTATTCTAAACCCTGATTTTTTTGTTGATAAATCAGCTATCAGTCATTTCTTTGTAAGTAATCTGTCTTTACTTTTTGGCTCTTCCCCTCCCACTTTGATTACGGAAAATTTCAAATATTCAAAAGTAAAGAGAATAGTACACTGAATACCAGTGTACCTGTTACCCAGCTTCAGTGATTATTAACTCATGGCCAATCTTGTTTCACCTATATTCCCCTAACCCCTGCTCCTCCACCTGCACACCAAGGTTATTCTGAAGTAAATATCAGACATCATATTATTTAATTTCATCCATAAATATGTATGTTGTGTTTGGTATATATCTAAAATATAAGCACTTTTATTAAACATTACAAGAAAACTACCATCTCTAAAAAATTAACAGTTCTTTAATATCATCAGATGTACAGTCACTATTTCAAATTTTCCTGATTGTCTCATAAATGTTTGCATGTTTACGTCTAGTTTGTTTGAATCAGGATCCAAAAAAGGACTATACTCTGTAATTGGTTGATATGTTTCTTAAATCTCTTAATCTGTAGGTTAAGAGATTTCCTTCCTTCTCCTTCCTTCTCCTCCCCTTTTTTTTCCTCCCATGGGATTCATTTGTTGAAGAAACTGGATTGTTTGTCCTATACCACTTCCCATAGAATGGATTTTCATGATTGCATCCCTGTGGTGTGGTTCCCTTGTTCCTTATATTTCCTGAATATTGATTAGATCTAGCAGCTTGATTGGATTTACACTCAGGTTCTATTTTTTCCTCTTTCGGTGGGGGCAAGAATATGTCATAGTAGACACAAAGTCTCTTGCTCATTTTAAGATCTTCTCTTTGATGTTTTGAAGTTTTACTTCAATGTATCTGGATGAGGATTTCTTTCTTTGTTTTCTTTTTCCTGTTTAGGATTCCTGAATCTTGAGGATTGGCATATTTTATCAATTCTCAGCTATTTTCTCTTCAAATACTGCTGCTCCACTGTTTTCTCTATTCTTCACCTGAACTCCAATTAGATATCACCTGTAAGCCTGGGGCCTTTAAAACTTAGGCTGTAGGCCACCAGGGATCAGATGACTTCAGAGCAAAAGTATGCTCCAGCACTTACTCAATAGAGTTGTGGTTATTTCATTGTTTCCTCTACTTTACTGCCAATGCAGTATGGATGTATGTGTGTGTGTATGGATAGAGATATATATCTCCACATACACTTAAAAATATATCTTGAAATTCATTCCGTATCACTATACAGTCATGCACCACATAACGACGTTTTGGTCAATGACAGACTGCATATATGACAGTGGTCCCATAAGATTAGTACTATATAGCCTAGGTGTGTAGTAGGCTATACCATCTAGGTTTGCGTAACTACACTCTGATGTTCACACAATGACGAAATCACCTAACAATGCATTTCTCATAATATATCTCCATCATTAAGCAATGCATGACTGTATAATCTACCTCATTCCTTTTCTTTTTTTCATTTATTGAGGTATAACTTACACATAGTAAAATGCACGAATCATAGTAAAATGCAGGAATACAGAACATTTCCAGCACCACAGAAAGCTGGCTTCTTGTGCCCCCTCTCAGTCATTACCCACTCCCAAGATTAACCACATTCTGATTTCTGTAGTCATAGATTAGTTTTGCCTGTATTTGAATTTCATATAAATAGAATCATAAGGAGTATGTACTCTTTCACCTTTGATTTCTTTCATTCAACATTGTCTGTGAGCTTCATCTATATTGTTGAGTATATCAATAGTTTGTTATTTTTCATTGCTGTGTAGAATTCTATCTTCTTAAAATTAACTTTTGTTTTATGGATACATCCTAATTTAGTTAACTAATTCTCTACTGATGGATATTTAAATAGTTTTCAGTCTTTCATTACTACAAACACTACTGCAGTGCATATGTTTATTCACGCATCTTTGCCAATATGTGTAAGTATATCAGTAGGATAAAATCCTAGATGTGTGAGTGCTATGTGAAAGATTATGTGCATTATTAGTCTTAATAGATATTGCCAAATTGCCTTCCAAAGAGGGTGTATTAATTTATACACCCACCCGCAATATATATGCGGGCCTGTTTCCCAACATCCTTGCCAACTATTAACAAATGTTTTATTCTTTGACAACCTGACAGATAAAAATAGAAACGTGTAATTAATAAATATTTTTGTTTTTTAACTGAAAATACATACACATGGTAAAAAAAAAATTCAAGCAATATAAAAGGATATACCATGAAAGTTATATATTACCCCTACTCCTATTCCCTAGTTCTCCTGGTTCCCTTTCCAGAAACCACCACTATAGTCAGTTTCTTGTGTATCTTTCAGATATATTCTATGCAAATAATGCATATGCAAGTATAAATGGGCTATATGTGTGTGCACATGTGTTTGGATATCTCTATCTGGTCTGCTTTAGTGATGAAAATGGAAGTTTACTTTCTTTTTTTCACTTAAAAATATATCTATATCTATATATCCATCTCTTTTCCCTTTTTTTCCACACATGGTAGCAGGCTATTCACTCTACTTTTTTCACTAAATATATCTTTGAGATTGTGTCATATCAATACATTTAGATATCAATAGCCATATCTTTTTTATGGCTACATCATAGTTTTAACCAGTCCCAGGTACTTTGGTTGTTTCCAATATCCTGTTATTATAAACAACCTCCTTGAACATACTTATTTGTGCACATGTGCCAGTATATTTGTAGGATAAATTCCTAAAAGTATGGTTCTAGATCAGAGTATATACTGGCTGATGTGGTTCCCTGCTCAACATCCATTCTGTATCGTCCCTATTGTTTAGCAGTCATAAAGTTTGAAGGGGTGGAATTGATCTCACCCCCAGCTTCTGGTGGGGGTGTACCACCGTGTAACCCAATCAGGGTAAGCTCATCCCCTGTGCCTCAGTGATTGGTTCATGCAACCCAGGCCTTAGCCAGTCAATGTATAGCACTGAAGGGGTTGTTCAGGAGTGGGCCAGTGACCCAATTCAAGTTAATGAAATGCTAGAGGATGTTTGTTGAAGTATTGAGGGAAGAAGGGTTTTTCTGTTTTTGTTCTGTGCTCTTCTGAGATAACAGAAGCCAGCTTTGTCTCTTCTCTTGGACAGTGTGGTGTAGCTGATGTGAAGCCTTCAAATGCAGCAGCCCTTTTGCTACCAGGAAGGGAGTCAAATTTATGATAAAGCTCACACTTTCGAAGACTGGAAGGAAATTAGGTCCTTGGTGATATTGTTGATTCATGCAATCGAACCAATTGCAAAGCCCACTCATCCCCTGGAATTTGCAGTTGTATGAACCAATAAATCGTTTTTATTGTTTAAGCCTATTGCAGTTGGGTTTTCTGTTACTCACTAATAAAAAAAGACATGTGTACTTTTAAAATTTTTTAATAAGTTGCCTTCCTAAACTTATACCAATTTACAATCCAACAACAAAATATAGGAGTGTCTGTTTCTCCACATCCTTGCCAAAATAATATATTATTAAACTTTCTGATATTGCCATTTTTATAGGAAAAGAGTGGTATCTCGTTGTATTTGTAATGCAATCTTTTTATCATGAGTAAGGTTAAGCTTCTTTCTTTTTTTCCTGAGGAAGATTAGCCCTGAGCTAACATCTGATGCCAATCCTCCTCTTTTTTTTTGCTGAGGAAGATTGGCCCTGGGCTAACATCTGTGCCCATCTTCCTCTACTTTATATGGGATGCCACCACAGCATGGCTTGACAAGCAGTGCGTCGGTGCGCGCCCGGGATCCAAACCTGTGAACCCCGGGCCACCGAAGCGGAGTGCGCAAACTTAACTGCTACACCACTGGGCCGGCCCCTAAGCTTCTTTCTAATATGCTTAAAAATCACATGTATTTCCTTTGTATGTGTATATGTGTGTGTGTGGGGTGGGTGTGTGTGTATACTGCTCATGTTCTTTGCCTAGTTTTCTATTTCTCTTTTTCTTATTGCTTTGTAAAAACTTTTTGTATACTAAGAAAATCAGGTCTTTGTCATATGGGTTCAAATATATTTTCGGAGTTTCTCCTTTGGCTTTTGACTTTCTTTTTTCTTTTTGTATTTTTTTAAGGCAAAATATATATAACATAAAATTTACCATTGTACAATGGTACATTGTACAGTGTACAATTCAGTGGCATTAAATACATTCACAATGTTATATAACCATCACCACTATTTATTTCCAGAACTTTTTCATCATGCCAAAGAGAAACTCTGTACCCATTAAACAATAATTCTCCATTTCTCCATTGTCCCTTCCCAACAGCCCCTGGTAATCTCTATTCTACTTTCTGTCTCTATGAATTTGCCTATTCTAGGTACCTTATAGGAGTGAAATTGTACAATATTTGAACGTTTGTGTCTGGCTTATTTTACTTAGCATAATGTTTTCAAGGTTCATATTTATCATAGCATGTAGCAGAATTTTATTCCTTATTATGGCTGAATAATATTCCATTGCATGTATATACCATATTTTATTTATCCATTCATCTGTTGATGGACACTTGGGTTATTTCTACCTTTTGGCTATTGTGAATAATGCTGCTGTGAACATTGGTATACAAGTATCTGTTTGAGTCCTTGCTTTCAATTTCTTTGAGTATATACCTAGGAGTGGAATTGTTGGATCATATGGTAATTCTATGTCTAACTTTCTGAGAAACCACCAAAATCTTTTCTACAGCACCTGCAAACATTTTATATTTCCATCAGCAATGCACTAGGGTTCCAATTTCTCTCTTTTTTTTAAACTTTTATTAAATTTATTTAAACTAAAAAAGACATAGTTCACCCATTTCCCCCACCTCCCCACCCCCCAGCTCTTGCAACCAGCAATCTGTTCTCTGTATCTATGAACTTGTTTTTTTTTAGATTCTATATATAAAGAGAGATCATACAGTATTTGTCTTTCTCTGTCTGATTTATTTCACTTAGCATAATGCCCTTGAGGTCCATCCATGTGGTCACAAATGGCAAGATTTCATTTTTGGGGGGCGAATAATATTTCATTGTATATATGTACCACAATTTCTTTCTCCATTCATCCATCAATGGACATTTAGGTTGTTTCCATATCTTGGCTATTATAAATAATGCTGCAGTGAACATGGAGGTGCATATATCTTTTTGAATTAGTGTTTTTGTTTTCTTCAGATAAATACCTAGAAGTGGAATTGCTGGATCATATGGTAGTTCTATTTCTAATTTTTTGAGGAATCTCCATACTGTTTTCCATAGCAGTTGCACCAATTTACATTCCCATCAACAGAGCACAAGGGTTCCTTTTTCTCCACATCATCGCCAATGCTTGTTTTTTTTTGTCTTTTTGATAACAGCCATTCTAACAGGTATGAGGTGATATCTCATTGTGGTTTTGATTTGCATTTCCCTGATGATTAATGATGTTGAGCATCTTTTCATGTACCTCTTGGCCATCTGTATGTCTTCTTTGGAAAAATGTCTATTCAGATCTTCTACCCATTTTTTAATCGGATTGCTTGTTTTTTGTTATTGAGTTGTATGAGTTCTTTGCATATTTTGGATATTAGCTCCTTATCAGATATATGATTTGCAATTATTTTCTCCCATTCAGTAGGTTGCCTGCTAATTTTGTTGATGGTTTCGTCTGCTGTGCAGAAGCGTTTTGGTTTGATGAAATCACACTTGTTTACTTTTGTTTTTGTTTCTTTTGCTTTTGGAGTCAGATTCAAAAAATCATCTCCAAGACCTATGTCAAGGAGCTTACCCACCTATGTTTTCTTCTAGGAGTTTTATGGTTTGAGGTCTTACATTCAAGTCTTTAATACATTTTGAGTTAATTTTTGTGTATAGTGTAAGATAGTAGTCCAGTTTCATTCTTTTGCATGAACAAAAGATTTTAATTTTGATAAATTGCAATTTATTTTTTCTTTTGTTGCTTGTGCTTTTGTTGAAAAGACTGTCAATTCCCCCACTGAATCTTCTGACACCCTTGTTGAAAATCAATTGACTATTTATGTGAGGGTTTATATCTGAGCTCTGTATTCTATTCCATTGGTCTATATGTCTGTCCTTACGCCAGTATCACACTGTTTTGATTACTGGAGCATTTTAGTAGTTTGTAGTTTTGAAATCTGGAAGTGTGAGTCCTCTAACTTGGTTCTTTTTCAAGATTGTTTTGGGTATTCAGGGTCCTTTCAGATTCCATATGAATTTTAGGATGGATTTTTCTATTTCTGCAAAAAATTCCATTGGGATTTTGATCAGGATTGCATTGAATCTATAGATCACTTTGAGAAATAGTTTCATCATAACAATATCAAGTCTTTCAATCCATGAACACGAGATGTCTTTCCATTTATTTTTGTCTTCTTTAATTTAGTTCAGTAATGTTTTGTGATTTTCATTGCTGATGTATAGAAATGCAACAGATTTTTTTTATTGATGTTTTAATGGTTTCTAACATTGTGAAATTTTGGGTTGTACATTTTTGCTTGTCCATCACCACATATATGACTCCCTTCACCCCTTGTGCCCACCCCCCACCCCCACTGCCCTGGTAACCACAGTCCAGTTTTCTCTGTCCATGTGTTGGTTTATATTCCACATATGAGTGAGATCATGCAGTGTTTGTCTTTCTCTTTCTGGCTTATTTCACTTAACATAATACGCTCCAGGCCCATCCATGTTGTTGCAAATGGGACGATTTTGTCTTTTTTATGGCTGAGTAGTATTCCATTGTATATATATACCACATTTTCTTAATCCAATCGTCAGTCGAGGGACACTTAGGTTGCTTCCACTTCTTGGCTATGGTGAATAATGCTGCAATGAATATAGGGGTGCATAAGCCTCTTTGGATTGTTGATTTCAGGTGCATTGGATAGATTCCCAGTAGTGGGATGGCTGGATCATAGGGCATCTCTATTTTTAATTCTTTGAGGAATCTCCATACCGTTTTCCATAGAGGCTGCACCAATTTGCATTCCCACCAGCTGTGTATGAGGGTTCCTGTTTCTCCACATCCTCTCCAACATTTGTTGTTTTTTGTCTTGGTGATTATAGCCATTCTAACGGGCGTGAGGTGGTATCTTAGTGTTGTTTTGATTTGCATTTCCCTGATGATTAGTGATGTTGAGCATCTTTTCATGTGCCTATTGGCCATCTGTATATCTTCCTTGAAGAATTGTCTGTTCATTAGAAATGCAACAGATTTTTGTGTGTTGATTTTGTATCTTGTTTATTAGCTGTAACAATTTTTTTTTGTAGAATCTTTAGGGTTTTCTACATCATGTCATTTGTGAATGGAGATAATTTTATTTCTTCCTTTCCAACCTGGTTGCTTTTTATTTCTTTTTCCTGTCTAATTGCTGGCTAGAACTTCCACTATTATGTTGAATAGAAGTGGCAAAGGCGGACAGTTCTGATCTTATGGAAAGAGCTTTGAGCTTTCAGTTTTTAACCACTGTGTATGATGTTAGCTGTGGTTTTTTTCCTATATGGCCTTTATCATGTTGAGGAAATTCCCTTCTATTCCTAGTTTATTGAGTGCTTTTTATCATGAAAGAGTTTTGGGTTTTGTCAAATTATTTTTCTGTGTCTATTGAGATGATCATATTATTTTTATCCTTTATTATGTTAATGTGGTATATCACATTGATTGATTTGCATATGTTGAACCATCCTTGCATCCCAGGGATAAATCTCACTTGGTCATGGCATATGATCCTTTTAATGTGCTGTTGAAATAAGTTTGCTAGTATTTTGTTGAGGATTTTTGCATCCATGTTCATCAGGGATACTGGCCCACAGTTTTCTTGTGGTGTCTTTGGCTTTGGTATCAGGGTGATGCTGGCCTCATTGAATGGGTTAGGAAGTGTTTCCTCCTCTTCAATTTTTTGGAAGAGTCTAAGAAGGATTGGTGTTAATTCTTTTTTTTATTTTTTTATTATTTTTTTTGTGAGGAAGATCAGCCCTGAGCTGACATCCATGCTAATCCTCCTCTTTTATTTATTTTTTTTTTTTGCTGAGGGAGACCAGCTCTGAGCTAACATCTATTGCCAATCGTCCTCCTTTTTTTTCCCCAAAGCCCCAGTAGATAGTTGTATGTCATAGCTGCACGTCATTCTAGTTGCTGTATGTGGGACGTGGCCTCAGCATGGCCGGAGAAGTGGTGTGTCGGTGCACGCCCGGGATCTGAACCCGGGCCGCCAGTAGCGGAGTGCGCGGACTTAACTGCTAAGCCAAGGGGCCGGCCCCGGATTGGTGTTAATTCTTCTTTAAATGTTTAGTAGAATTCACCGGTGAAGTCATTTGGTCCTGAACTTTTCTTTGTTGGGAAGTCTTTCATTACTGATTCAATCCCCTTACTAGTTATAGGTTTTTTCAGATTTTCTTTTTCTTCATAAGTCAGTTTTGGTAGATCGTGTGGGAAAGGGACATACTTGTTTCCTCTACCCACAGAATACTTCTGTATTCCAAATGTGTGGGTGTTTTTCCCACACCAAGCAATTCTCCATGTCTCAGCAGACACCGACTGGATGTTCTATAATTTAACTCAATTCTGACACTATCTACCTGGAGATAGCATCAGATCCCACAAGTTAAGGGCTCAGTCTCACAAGTCTGCCCCCACTTAAGACACCAACTGCAAGTCCAGGTTGTTACTTGTGCTTCTGACCGACTAGCTGCATATCAGAGGATCCCACAACTCCCTCTTTGGGTTTGATAATTTGCTAGAATGGCTCACAGAACTCAGGTAAACAGTTTTCTTACTAGATTACCAGTTTATTATAAAAAGGTAAAACTCAGAAACAGCCAGATGGAAGAGATACATAAAGGTATGAGGGAAGGAGTGTGGAGCTTCCATGCCTTCTCCGAGTGTGCACCCTCTCAGCACCTCCACATGTTCACCAACCTGGAAGCTCTCCAAACCCCTTTGATTAGGATTTTTATGGGGGCTTCATTATGTAGGCATGGTTGATTAAATCATTGGCCAGTGGTGATTAAGTCGGCCTCCAGCCCCTCCTTTCCCTGGAGGTCAAGGGATGGGGCTGAAAGTTCCAATTGTCTAATCACATGGTTGGTTCCCCTGGCTATCACCCCCCATTCTGAGGCTATCCAGAAGCCCCGAGCCACTAGTCACCTTGTTTATAGTCTTGTTCAAGTCTTCTGTTTCTGCATTGATCTGTCTGGTTGTACTATCCATTACTGAAAGTGGAATACTGAAGTGTCCAACTTGTAGAACTGTCTATTTGTCCCTTCAATTCGGTCAAATTTTTGCTTCATGTTTTAGGGCTCTGTTGTTAGGTGAATAGAGGTTTACAATTGTTCTATCTTCTTGCTGGATCAAACCTTTTATCAATATCTAATGTCTTTTTTGTCTCTTGTAACCTTTTTTGATTTAAAGCCTATTTTGTCTGACAATAATATAGTCCCTCAGCTCTGTTTTGGTTACTATTTGCATGGAATATCTTTTTCAACACTTTTACTTTCAACTTCTTTGTGTCCTTAGATTTAAAGTGAGTTTCTTGGGGCCGGCCTGGTGGCGCAAGCGGTTAAGTGTGTGTGCTCCGCTGCGGTGGCCCGGGGTTCGCAGGTTCGGATCCTGGGCGTGCACCGACGCACTGCTTGTTAAGCCATGCTGTGGTGGCATCCCATATAAAGTAGAGGAAGATGGCCAAGGATGTTAGCTCAGGGCCAATATTCCTCAAGAAAAAAGGAGAGGATTGGCATCAGATGTTAGCTCAGGGCTAGTCCTTCTCACAAAAAATAAAAATAAAAATAAAGTGAGTTTCGTGTAGACAGCATATAGATGGATCCTGATCTTGTTTTTTAAATCAAATCTGCCAAACTCTGCCTTTTACTAGGAGAGTTTAAATCATTTACATTTAATGTGAGTACTGATAAAGAGAGATTTACTTCTGCCATTAATCTATGTGTTTTCTTTATGTCTTATATGTTTTTTTGTTCCTCAGTTCCTACATTACTGCCTTTTTTGGTAGTGTGCCATTGTGATTTTCTTCTTCTTTCCTTTTCTGTATATTTTAAAGTTCTTTTCTTAGTGGGATTTCAATTAACATCTTAAATTTATAACAACCTAGTTTGAATAATAGCAATTTAGTTTCAATAATATACAAACACTCTGCTTTTATACATCTCCATCCCTCTCCTTTTATATTGTTATTGTCACAGATTACATCTTTATAGATTGTTGGCACATTAACATAGATTTCCAATTATGTTTTATGCATTTTCCTATTAAATTATATAGGAAAAAGAGAGAAGTAACAAACTACAACAAAAGTACAATAACACTGGCTTTTGTATTTACCTACCTAGTTACCTTTTCCAGTGTTCTTTATTTTTTCTTATGGCTTCAAGTTATTGTCCAATTTCCTTTCATTTCAACCTGAAGTTCCCCCTTTAGTTTCTCTTGTAGGTCAGGTCTACTGGTAATGAAATCCTTCAGCTTTTGTTTATCTGGAAATGTCTTCAGCTCTCCTTCATTCATAAAGGATTGTCTTGCCAGATATAGAATTCTTGGTTGACAGTTTTTTCTTTCAGACCTTTAAATATATCATCATACTGCCTTCTGGTCTCCATGGTTTCTGAGGAGAAATAAGCTGTTAATATTGAGGTTCCCTTGCACGTGATCAGTTGCTTCTTTCTTGCTGCTCTAAAAATTCTTTCTTTGTCTTTGGGTTTTGACAATTTGACAGTAATGTGTCTTTGTGTGGAACTTTGAATTTATCCTGCTTGGAGTTCGTTGAGCTTCTTGGACATATATATAGATTTGGGAAGGTTATGGCCATTATTTATTAAAATATTTTTTCTGCTTTCTCTCTCTTTTCTCCTTCTGGGACTCCTATAATGTGTACAGTGGTACATCTGATGATGTCCTACAGGTCCCTAAGGCTCTGTTCATTTTTCTTCATTCTTTTTTTCCTTCTCCTTAGCATGGATAATTTCAATTTTCTCATCTTAAAGTTTGTTGATCCTTTCTTCTGCCTCCTGAAGTCTGTTGTTGACCTCTTCTAGTGAGTTTTTTCACTTCGGTTATTCTACTTTTCAGTTCCAGAATTTCTGTTTGGTTCCTTTTTGTAATTTCTCTCTCTTTATTGATACTCTCATTTTTTCCCATACATTTTTTTCCTGATTTCCTTTAATTCTTTGTCCATGGTTTCTTTGAGCTCATCAAACATATTGAAGACATTTGACTTAATGTCTTTGACTAGTACTTTTAATGTCTGGGCTTCCTCTTCTTCCTTCTTCCTCAAATCCTTTTTCCCTGTGATTGGGCCATACTTTCATGTTTATTTGTATATTTTAAAAATTTTTTTGAAAACTGGACATTTTGAGCATTCTTGTTGTGGTAACTCTGGAGATCTAATTCTCCTGTTCCTCTGGGATTGATGAATCTTGCTTGTTGAGGGTTGGAGCCATCTGTTTGTGACGTTTGCCAACTATTTTTGCAAAGTGTGTATTACTTGTTGTGCATGGTCACTGAAGTTTCTATTCTGTTATCTCTGTGGTCAGCCAGTAACCTGACAAAGATTTCCTTAAATGTCTGTGTCCCCAAAGGGGTAAAAGAAGCAAAACAAAACAAAAAACCTAAGTACTATCTCTTTAAATCCCCTGTAAACTGATTCAGCCCATGGGGATTAAAACAGTGGCCAGCCTCTGTGCCAGCCTCTCAACCATCAAAAACAGCAATCAGCAATCAAACCACACAATCCTGATATTTGGAGGACAATGTCCTTATTGCCCACTCAGGCTCCAGGAAGCTGCACCAGGAACTGTCCCCTTACTTGCCTGCCTCGGGGCTGGGGGATGGCAACTGCTATGTGAAAGGCCAACATTTCAAGAAGTTTACCAAAACTTACAAGCCTCTTTATCAAGCTCTCCCCTGGACTCAGCAAATATTTGACTAGACTCCAGAGTTCCAAAATTGTTGCTTCAAACAGTTCCTGCCAGCTCAATAATTGTTTAGGTGGAGGGATGGATTCCTAGAGCTTCCCACTCTGCCATCTTCCATGACATCTAGCTGGTATTATTTTACTCTTTAGAATTTATTACTATTTGTAGCCTAGTACGTGATGAATTTTTCTAAGTGTTCTACAGCCTTTGAAAAGAATGTGTAGTCTATTTTGAGGTACCAAGTTCTAAACAAATCTATCAAATCCAACAAGTTATTTGTAATATTCAAATCTGCTATATTTTTACCTGATGTGGCTCTTTGGATCTGTCAGTCTGAGTAATGTTTGTCTCCCACCATAATTTTGTCTTAGTCATATTCTTGTATTTCTAATAGGTTTTTTGCTTTATATTTCACTACTATGTTGTTCTGTATGAAAAGTTCAATGACAGCTGTATCTTCCTTCTTGGTTAATTGTGCCCTTTGCCCATTTAAACAAATGGTACCTTTCTTGTACCATTTTATACCTTTTGTCTTGAATCCTACTTTATCTAATATTAATATTGCCATTTCTGCTTTGTTTTTTTTTTAAATGATATCTGCCTGATGTGTCTTTACTTTCAATATTTCTGTGTCATTTTGTTTCAGTTCTGTCTCCTGTAAACAATATATAATGGGATTTTTTAAAAACTCAGTTTTTATAGTCTTTTTTAAATAGGGAAATTTAACCTATTTATTGTGATTAGTAATATCTTAGGTTTTATGCTACCATCTTAGTTCATGTTATTTTATGACGCTTTCTTGTTTTTTATATTTTTACCTCCTGACTTTTGCTTGACCAATCAAGTTGTCTTTGTTCCTTTTTCCCCTCTAGTTCTAGTTCCTATTTCTAGTCAACAAGTAATTATCCTTATATTTAAAAAAATATTTAAACTTACACCTTTTCTGTACACAGCAATAATTATTCAATATCTATAATTCTCCATTCATATTTCTTTGCCATCTCTAATGTTTTTGTAAAATTATTTCAAATATTGGTTCTAGACATTAAAATTCTTGGCTACGTTACACCTCTTTTATTTTAGGAATCCTTTCTTAAAAATTGTACAGAAGTCACAGCCACATTATTAGAAATTATTTATTTATTTTTAATTTTATTTAATTTTTGAATATTTACATGGTTTCAAAATTTCAAAAAGTTTAAGATGATATGCAATTTAAAAATCTCCCTCCCTTGAGCCGGCCCCGTGGCTTAGCAGTTAAGTGCGCGCGCTCCGCTGCTGGCGACCCAGGTTCAGATCTGGGGCGCGCACCGACGTACCGCTTCTCTGGCCATGCCGAGGCCGTGTCCCACATACAGCAACTAGAAGGATGTGCAGCTATGACATACAACTATCTAGTGGGGCTTTAGGGGGGAAAAAATTAAAAATCTTCTCCCACTTTTGTCCCCAAGCCATATAGGTTCTCCTTCTAGGAAACAACTGAAGTTATCAGTTTCTTGTGTATCTTATCAGAGACATTCTATGCATATGCAAGCAAATATTCATAGTCTTTCTTTTTATTTCTTTTCTTATCCAAATGATAGCATACCATCCACATGTTCTGAATCCTGCTTTTGTCTTAACAATATGTCTTGGTGGTCATTCCAAACTATGCATTTTTAAACCTTTTATTGTGGGGGGCCTGCCCGGTGGTGTAGTGGTTAAGTGTGCATGCTCCACTTGGGCGGCCCTGGGTTTGCAGGTTTGAATCCCAGGCGCAGACCGATGCATGACTCATCAAGCCATGCTGTGGCAGCGTCCCATGTACAAAAATGGAGGAGGGTGGGCACAGATTTAGCTCAGGGCCAATCTCTCTCACAAATAAATAAATAAACCTCTTATTGTGGAAATTTTCAAACATAGACAAAGGAGAGAAAATAGTATAATGAACCCCCATGTACCCATTACCCAGTTCAATAATAATTAACACCCTGTTATTACTGTTTTATCTATCCCTCTCACTTATTATTATTATTAATATTATTATTAAAGATTTTGCTTGAGTATTTTAAAGCATGAC